ACAGGCAAAAAGCAGGTGATGTTAAGATATAGGTGTAGCATTAGAAAATAATCAAAACAAACAAACAGGAAAAAGAGGGGAAATGAACAGAAAAAACAAAGAACAGCTCATAGGAGGCAGAACAAAGAAGTGCTTCAGTACAGAGTATACCTATGCAGTCCCACGTTTCTGCAAGACACAGGAAAATCAGAACGACATATTACATGGAAGCACAGATGTCCTGGTAACATCAGCAATCACTTGAAATACGAAACACTGACCACCTCTCCTAGACATTCCAAAGAAGAGAAAACTAGGTAGCAAGTTAGTATCTACTGATTTAAAGCCAAAGATATCCAGGATTTCCTTAGCCCAGTCCAAAACAACGAATGAGGAAAAGATTCCCAATGGATCAGAATTCATACAAAACTCAGGCAGAATTCTATTAGCTTAATATTTAAACGTGGTGTCTTTTTTCAAAATCCAGCTTAAAACAAATAGATGGAGTGTATAAAAGCTTCAGTACAGGTAGCACTCGGAGCAGCAGGAAAGTTTTCTGGGTCCCCACCCCATTCCTTACCTCCAAACATCCCTCCCTGCTGTTCCCCTGTGGCATTCCCCGTCGAGGCAGATACCAGAAGGCAAGCCCTATGCCTGCCTGAGCTACTGTTACTGTGCTAAGACGACACCCAAACAACAAAAAAAAAGACCGATCACGACCCTAAGAGCTCAAGTATTAAGAGAAAAAAAAAAAGCAAGAAAAAAGGTGTGTGAAAATAACGCAGTAGTCCAACCAGAAGCAGCCCAGTGTCTTTTCTTCGCTTTTGATGGCTATCACATGAAGGTGTGTTACAGAAAGGACCGATGCAATGAGGTAGTCCTACAAATCTCTCCACAGTTTCTCAGCTGTGAGGAGAAACATAGCATGAAGTGCTTATTTGGAAAAAAATGCAGCAATTTATAAAGCCGAATGCATTCAAGATATAAACAGCTCTATGCCTACAATGAGTGCATAGAAAGAGAAAATTGAAAAGGAAGGCTAGACACATGAGAAGTATTTCGCAACCTGTAAGAAAAAACAGTTGAAACATGCTTTGACAGGTTTTTATCTATGCCTACAAAGCTTTGCACAGGGCAAGAGGGCTAGGGTAACTCCATACCTGCGAGGCCGGCACTGCAGACTAGGTAACCCTAAGTGCAATGTCAAGGCAATCCTCAGTATAATATCTCAAATTGCACTTGTGGAAAAAAGTAAGTGTAGAGAAAAGAAACAATGGGATTAAAGATAAGCTTCATGGAACTTTGCACGTGAAATCAGAAAAAAAGACACAGAGATTAGGAAAACAGAAGATGTGGACTGCTGTATCACCAGATGCTGATTTGACAGTTAATGGGTTGAAGGTTTCCTATTATCTGTTTCCACATTTTAGCCCTGTAGATGTGATTACACCAGATACCTTTATACTAGGTGCTAACCTAGTACAAGATATGTGTATTTAAAGTTACACAGAATCACAGAATCACAGAATAGTAGGGGTTGGAAGGGACCTCTGTGGGTCATCTAGTCCAACTCCCCTGCCGAAGCAGGGTCACCAAGAGCAGGCTGCACAGGACCTTCTCCAGGCAGGGTTTGAGTATCTCCAGAGAAGGAGACTCGACCACCTCCCTGGGCAGCCTGTTCCAGTGCTCCGTCACCCTCAGAGGGAAGAAGTTCTTCCTCAGGTGCAGACGGAACTTCCTCTGCTTCAATTTGTGGCCGTTGCCCCTTGTCCTGTCACTGGGCACCACTGAAAAGAGCTTG